AGTGAACCAGATGGGCCACCTATTCATCTGACAAGGACTTTAAGGCAGCGGTGGTGAAGGTGCCTCAGCAGACCACAGGGAGTCCACTTGAGACCACTGAGCGGGCACCGGGATCTGGATCTCCAGAGCGCCCCTCCCTCCGTGGAGCCGGGCCCCTCCCTCCGCACCCTCCTCAGCCTGGGCTTCCCTTCGGGTGGCCTCCAATGGGGCCGGGGAGTCCGAGTGTCTGTAAGGACCCTGTCTCAGCCCGTGTCTCCTGATGCCGCTCCCAACTTCTGTGGTCCTGAAATGTGGGGACGCCCCCCACCAGGAAGGCCAGCAGGTGGGCAGCAGCCGGCTCAGCCCACGTGGGGTGGCGGGGATGGGGGATGCTGGATGGCCTGCAGCCGGGGTCCCCCAGCGCCTTGGGTTTGATTCCTGCGCTCCAGAGGCCACAGGGTTTGGGGACACTCACATTGATGTTATGTCACAGACTGTGCCCCGGCTATGGATGGAGAGGGACATGGGGCGAGTGGGCGGCCCCCCACTCGGGAAGCCTATGTCTGGTCCTGTCCTTTCGGGTGGAAGGCTGGCTCCGCTACTTTAGGAGTCATTGGTCACCTCCTGGGCCTCCCCAGAGGGAGGTTGGGAGTGGGGTGGGCTCATCCTGCCCTGGTGACAGGTGACAGGCCCCATCCTGAAGCCACCAGGGGCTGGGCAGAGTGGACTTGTTTGCACCCAGAAGACAGGCTTACTCCGCGATTCCAGGAGTGTAGCCAGGAGCGTGCTGTCCTCTGCCGCCCTCCACCGAGGGCCAGTGGGTTCTGGGCCCCGGGCCTATCCTGACCGCTGCTCCTTCTTTCTGGTCTTTTAAAAATTTCCAACTTTCATCTCCTAATCAAAAGAGGGACGTCCCTCCAGGGGCTGGTGAGGAGGGAAAGCAGGATCCCAGAGGGACTCTCTGTCCCTGGGTGCCCCTTACCTCCTCCTTTCAAAGTCCCAGAGTCCCTTGGGGGCTGGCTCTTCTCTGGGCTGGAGGAGGGACAGAGCGTCCGGTCCCGGGCTGGGATGAGCGTGGGGCTGTGAAGCTGTGCTCTGGGACCTGGAAAGGAGAAGGTCTGTCATCTCTGCTGAGACCACTGGTGGACCGCAGATAAGCCCAAGCTGTGGGAGCCCCTGTCATGAGGTCCTCTGTGTCCCCAGAGGGACACAACACGTTCAAAGCTGGGCAGCCCCTGGCCAATGTGAGCCAGTTAGTCCCAGTTCTCTTCCTACTTGGAGCAGGTTTTCTGTCCCTGGCAATTGCTGGAGCCCTCCCCCAGGCTCTCGGGGTCTGGATCACAGGATAGGTCCCTGCTGGCTCGGGAGCACTTTGGTACCGGGGATCCAACTCCCGGGCACTGGACCACTGAGCCGCATCCCCGCCCTAATTTGTATTTTATTTAGAGACAGGGTCTCACTGAGTTGCTTAGTTGCTGTTGCTGAGGCTGGCTTTAACTCTGGATCCTCCTGCCTCAGCCTCCCGAGCCTCTGAGATGACAGGGTGCGTCACCGGCCCGAAATGGGGAGTCTCCTCCGCTCGCCACCCCCCACCGCCACCAGCGGAGCCTGGCGCTTGGGTGCTCTGCCGTGCTCCTGTCCTCACCCACTGGGCAGACTGGTCCAGTCCAACCACTGTCTGTCCCTGGTCCTGTGTCGTGACTCGACCCCACACCAATGGTGGGGATCTAGGGGATCCAAAGCTAGGGTCAGACAAAACACCCACGGCATCTGGATAAGTCTGAATTTTAGATCAACCACGAACAATTTTTTAGTATAAATATATGCCAATTCTGCTAACAAGTCCACTTACACGGAAAAAAAAAAGGCATCGTTTATCTGC